GGACTGTAAATCCTACCCTTGCACAGCCCTGCCTGTTTCAATGGTATATGCTATGTGACATCTCCTGACTTACGCTAGTTTTAGAGCTGAGCCTTATTTCACATTCCAAAGTCATGCAGACACATCCTCTTAACCTCCTTGGCAATAATTCCTGCAAATGAGAGTCTCCACACAGAGAGAAACTCAGTATTTTCTAACACATTAATCAAATAACCATTCAGTTGTTGCCTTATGTGTTAGAAGCAGACGTGTTGTCAAATAAAATGATTTTATAGATTATCTTCTGTACTTCCCAGACAAGGAATTTAGCAACATCTTGTGCACAAAGTCCTTTAGGAGAAGATCAATGTCTATTCATTTCATCTTCTGTTGCTTACTCAGGGAAATCTCATACTTAATGTTGCTCCCCCAGAGGAGCTTTCCCATCTCTGACTTTTAAAACCAGTGATTGTTTCTGCGTGAATGTTGAAAGGAGAGCCCAGACTGCCATCATCTGAGGGCTGTTGGTGGCAGCTTGCAATGACCCCAGAGAAAAAGAAAGCGAGCAGATCTCCTGACTTCTGTATGGCCAGGTGATCCCTGGGAATGCTGACTCTCAGCTTGCCCTGCTGCATCATGGCCCAAACCGAAAGCATTGCTCAGACTGCTGAAAACACCACCGAGGCCTGAATTAAAGAGCTATTCCTACTCACGCAGGGGTTGAGATTGGACTATGCCCATGGCTTGGTGCTGGCAGTGAGGCTTTGGGGTTTGCAGAGTGGCTCCTTGCTGCCAGCTCCCAGTGGCATTTATCGAAGGCAGTTGATTGCCAGGAGTGGCTTTTGGATGGCCTCTGTTGTTCTCTGCTTTTGAGTTGCCTGAGGTGCATCTTGGCCATGAGGAAACTGTTGGAGAGAAAGGGTAAGGCTGGAAAGTGTCCTTGTTTCCCCACGCAGAGTGACTAGAGGCTGGGGAATGAAAGCTGCTCAGGTGAGCAAGGTGGGCTTCACATCCCTCACTTCCTGTCGCGGTAAGAGTGCCTTTTCAGGGCTGCTCCTCCGCCAGCCCCCTCCCCCCCCCCCAGCCCCTCTCGTGGGGGGAGCCTCTGGCTCCATTAATTTCAAGAAGCTTGTCAGGATGTTCTTGCAGCAAAATGTTCCCAAGGCTCCTGCTCCCACATGCTCTCTGCCTCTTGGTGTCCTCCTGTCACATCTCTTGTATTAACATGATGTTTTTCCCCAGGTGTTACACATCAGCCCTTCTCCCCATCCATCTCCTCCACTTTCCATGCCTTCTGAGGGGGTAGCTCTCAGTGTGGCTGCAGGTGAGAGATGAGATTGCATGGGAGCAATCTGTGTTTTGGCCTCCACATGATTTATGACAGCCTGAGACACAGCTGTAGTTACGGCTGGTTTCATAGCCCTGTAGAGGAGCGAGATGCTCGCAGTGGCTAGGGAAGCTGCTGATGGGCCACCACAACCACCCTCCATCAGCACTGACCTTTCCATGGTGACAGTCACCAGAGCAGCCAGCCAGCTGAAAGAAGGGCACTTCCCTGCAAAGGAGCAAGCCCAGCTTCATGGCTCCATCCTTGCATCCTTGACCCAGGAGTGGGGATGCTGCTCTTCCCTCTGCCGCAAAATCCCAGCAAAAGGTTAACCGCTCCCCATTCACCACAACCACCCTCCATCAGCACTGACCTTTCCATGGTGACAGTCACCAGAGCAGCCAGCCAGCTGAAAGAAGGGCACTTCCCTGCAAAGGAGCAAGCCCAGCTTCATGGCTCCATCCTTGCATCCTTGACCCAGGAGTGGGGATGCTGCTCTTCCCTCTGCCGCAAAATCCCAGCAAAAGGTTAACCGCTCCCCATTATCTAGCACTGGGTCTGTGAGCCCTCACCCACCTCTTGGTGTCACTGCACAGTTCCTGCAACCTTCTGCCATGCTCCTTTTCTCCTTGCACGGGGAGGTCTGGCAACACACTGGCTCTGGAGCAAGAGTGGGCAGCAGCTGTGGTTCGTCTGATGCCCTCCATCCCACACCAACTGACTGCATAAGGTAGCAAGGTCCCCACACTGCACAACCCACACCTCTGGACTCCTGTGCTGGGTCCCTAAGGCTTCCACAGTGCTGTGGACCTGCTGAGCACTCACTGCCTCTCAGCAAAGCTGGGGAGGTCAGGCACCTCCTCTTTTGGGACTCAGTCAGGTTGGGCGAGGGGTGCAAGGTTCTGCCTGTGTCCATGCAGGGCACCTGCAGCTTTGGTCTGTGGAAGTTCTGCCCCTCACCTGTTGTTTCAGAGCCAGGTAAAAGGTCCTTTTCTCCCTATGGCTTGTAGCGAAGGAGGAAGCTAGCAATTTACTGAATCAGTCACCAAATTCAGACACCCTTTTTTGAAAGGCCACCTGATGCTTGAGTCTGTGGTCATGGTCCAGTTTTCTGTAAAGCTGAGCTGGTCTAGGAGTCCGGAGGGCTTGCTCTCTGTTTCCTGTCCCAAGGAGACTTGCTTTGCAAAGTCAGCATTTTACCGTGCATCCTCCCTATGGATGCCCACCACATTTTCTTCTTTCTTGATGTTTTTTCTTGTTAAACATTAAGAAAAGACTTCTCTATGGAAGTCTCACCACTGTGGGACTACTTAGTAGGCTGTATAGAGCTCTCTGTACTTAACAAAATGTACATGCAATGAGTCATTATTCCCTGAGTCTGCAGCTCTGAGTATTCATCGCACAGATGAGGGGGCTCATGTGAAATCAGGCTTTCCATACACACAGCATACAGTCAGGGAGATTATCTGCCGGGCACGTGTCCTCATTAAATGAGCATTTCTCCTCCACTCTGGTGTGTGCACACACAACTCATGGAGACAAGAGAGCCACCTCTGAAAAAAAAGGAAAGAAAGGAAAATAAAGTTGTCATTTGAAAGCAAATAACTTGGTGGTGTGAGTGCATAATATTCATCGCATAAAGCCTTGGAATAACTTTGTCATGATACCTAAGCTAGCCCCTGGGGAATAAGGTCTGTGGGATTTTTTTCCAATTTTTTACAGACAAGCAATACTGCATAATTTGGAGCTCCTAGAATGGAAGAACCATAAGCAATGTTAATTATGAACAGGATTTTTAAAAGCAACCCACATTAAGAAAGCACTGGTTGCTTTTGAAAATCCCAACTTCTCTTTTGTAGTGTGTGAGCAAGGAAAAGATCAGAGCTATGAATCAGCTGTAGATTTAACTCAGCAAATTGAACAAGCTTTGCAAAGTACCAGAGGCCCAGACAACATCTAATTCAAAAGCCAAATTCAGTCAACCTCTTAAAAAGAAAATGCAACAAAATGATTGTGATGAAGTCTTAGCCAAGCACCAACATTTACACCAGAGACATATAATTTAAAATCCTACATTCTTTGGGCTGGATTAATGGAGATTGAAAGGGTCTGGAGAAGGGAAATGAGGTTTGCTGGCATTAGTGCAGGATATGGGTAGAACAAACACTGGCAAAAATAAAGCTGATTTATCTTAGAAAGAAGAATTAGAGATGATTTTTCTTGCATATTCCTGCAGTGATGTATATAGCAGAGCTTGTCCAGATTCTTCCCCCTGTCCCATATGCCATCATTTGAAAGATGGCGTTTGGGAACAAGCCTAAAACAAGAGCCAGCACAGGGAATGGGATTTTTGTAGTCAGAGTGCAGGGGCAGTTATGACTCGAGAGTCAAACTGGAGGAGGGCTTGATAATTTTGTGGTCATTAGTGGTATCAGTAGGAACGCAAGCTGCAGCGATGACAATTAACCAACCCTTCTATTCTTTGTTGTGAGATGGTGATTTTCAGGGGGCTGCTGGCAGTAGCAGCGTCCCCGGGATGCAGGGATGGACTGCTCATTTTCTGAAGGACCGTGGGATCAAAAATACTGGCTATATTTAATGCCAAGAGCTTCCGGCTGAGGCACATACAGATTTGAAGCTTGAGGCTATTTTTCCACACTCCAGCTTGGGGCTGGGGCTGACTGGGAGTCCTGGGGCCCCAAGATGGCAAGCACGTGCTGCTTTAGAACCAATGCATTTATACCAGCATGTCATGGTATGTCCTTATCAGTGCAGCTGCAGACAATGTTGCATTTAAGAGGCTGTGAGATCAGCTCAGAAAAGCACCAATCCCTCCTGTCAGGAGTGAGGCATGAGGTTGCATGAAACCTTGCAGCCACCAGGAAAATGAAGGGAGCACAGGGGTCATTTTCAGCCCCTGACAGTCAGTGCAGCCCCGGCTGGAAGGAGGCGGCAGGCTGGCAAAGACTTCAACTCGTTTCTCGTGTTCTGTTTGTGTGCAAAAGCCAAGGGATGGTGCCCTCTGCATGAGGCAGGTATTTGCCGTGAAAGAAACCATGGCGCAGCGAGCTCTTCTTTTCCTACAAAATGCTCCAAGAACCCATAGGAAATTTGCCTAAGGAGAGAGGTCAGATGTGCTGCTTGGCTGCTCCAGCAGCCAGCACCTCTCCAAGCAGCCTGTTGAAGCTGTCCCTTCGCCAGCTGATGAGCCCGCATCACCCAGGATTCCCTCTGACTTGGATTCTGTCAGAGCTGTAGGTTGTCGGGTGTCTCCACGTCGCAGCACGGTGCCTGCCGGCTGTGTGTGCTTGGGCGTGTGTGTGGGTGTGGTTGTGGGTGAGGGAAGCCTGCTTCTATGCTGGGCACCAGACCTCATTGCCCACAGGCTGAGCCGTGAGCCATCGTGCTGGCGTCTCCTGAGCCCCTTGCTGGTTTGGGGGATCAGAGCTATTTTTGCCTATCTTTGCTTTGCACAGTGTGGCCTGCCATCATGCCTTTGGGTTGAACAGAAAATTGGCCAGTGTCCCTTGCAGGAATGGGGCTTTAGCCTTTCTCAAGAGCCATGTTGAGCTTCAGTGGGTGAGAAAACTTTGACCCTCTTATGTCCCCGTTCAACTCTACTTTCCTCCACTGTTACTTCTCTGTTCCCTTCTCCCCTTTTTGACACTTACTATTTTTCCATCCACAGCAAAACAGTTCACATCAAAGTAATTGATGATGAGGAGTATGAAAAAAACAAGAATTTCTTCATTGAGCTGATGAGCCCCCGCATGGTGGATATGAGTTTACAGAAAGGTGTAGTACTGGCCCTCCGGACTAACATTAACGTTCTTCTTTCCTCTTCTGTCTCCTTCCTCCTCTTCTCCTCCTCTTCCTCTGATGTCTCTCTGTCTCCAACCGCTCTGCCCTAAACACTGCTGTGCGCACATGCCGTGTCACATGGTACCCGTGGGGATGGGAGTGATGCTGGGGCCCAGACAGGCAAAGTGGGGAGGGCAGCAGAGAGAAAGGATGGAAAACAGCCCCGCTTTTCCCCATTTCTCTGGTGGTTTGAGGGACCTTCTGCCATCCCTGCTGGAGGGTACAAGCAAATTCTGTAGCGTCAACAAGAAGATGGTGGCAAGAAACACGACCAGCATCTCAGGAGATCATCGCCCAGCCCCTGTCCTACTGGGTGTTCTGGTCAGACCCATATTAGATAAAGACAGGCAGAGAAGCAGCTCCTGTAGTTTCAGAGAAGGATATGGCAAAGGCTGTGCAGCCCCTGGTCTGGGAGAAGGAGGTGAGGGCAGGGGGGCTGACACCCTGCTCTGCCTCTCCGGAGGGCTCACAGCAGCTGTGTGCATTGCAGAGGCAGATGTTACTGAAGTGAAAAAGCAATAAGATGTGCCATTTTAAAAATGGAAATCAGAAATATCAGCCTCCTTCGCAGCTAACAGAGCTGTAGCCTCCCAGTAGAGACCCACCTCACCCCACTGGGGAACATGTCTGTGAGTGTCCTTCTCTCTCTCTCTGCTCCTCAAGCTCCCACACCACAGTCCCTGCAGATTTATTGCAGAAGCAATTGATCTTCCAGCGAAAACGCAGTGGGTACCCTAGGGTGGTCCCTGGTGATTTCCAGGCAGCTGATACCCTTTCTGTTACCATGTGACACTGAAAAAAATGCACTGCAGAAGTTGCCTCTCACTAACCATCAGCAAGATCCGACCTCTCTCCTTTCCCTCCCTCCTCACCCCCTTGCCAGCCCCACCTCTCCCTAACACTCTCCCGCTCACCAAGGAGCAGCTGTGACGGATGCCCCGTGTCCAACGCTGGGGAAGGGGCTGCGTGCCTGGAGCCCGCACCACCACTGCTACTGCTGCCGCCTCGCCTCCAGCCAGCTGACCCACTGTACACGGTTGTCTCTCTTGTTGTCCCTACAGGAAGACCGTAAGGGTTAAGATAGTAGATGAGGAGGAATACGAAAGGCAGGAGAATTTCTTCATTGCCCTTGGTGAACCGAAATGGATGGAACGAGGAATATCAGGTGTGAGATCCTTTATGAAAAAAATGAAAAAAAGAAAAAAAAAATCAGAATTGAGTCTCCAAATCCAGAAAATATAACCCTCTTTCTCCTCCTTCCCCTCCCTCCTGTTTTCCTGTTCCTGTAGATAGATCAACTTTTATTCTCTGCACTCCTGTATTCTTGCTCTCACCCTGTTTTGGTGTCATCTCTGCCTTTAGATCCCAGCTTATTTCTGATCCTCCTTTTGTGAAATGCTTGAGCCTCGGCGGCTGTATTATTTTGATTGGGTTTCCTTGTCTTGATCTGTTTTTCATTCTGAGCACACCTTTGCTGTTCTCCCCTCTCCTCCTTTGCCAGGGCCTTGGGGAAAGTGAAAGGCAAGAGAAGGGCGTAATGCATGGCTGCCCCTTCGGCCCCTTCCGTATGCACCCCTGTCCTTCCCTCTGTTGTTGCTTGCCAGTGGCATTGCCTTGGTGCACTTGGGTCCCTATGAGGCATGGTGAAAAGCCCATGGGAGAAGAGGGAAGGTGTGAGGTATCTTGTTTTGCTTTTATTTTAAAAATGGTTCTCTATGTCTTTTCATCTGAAAACCCCCTCAATATGTGGCAAACAATCACAACCTGTTGTGCAGAGAGTGTGGAGCTCTGCTGAGGTCCTGCTTAATCAGCAGTGAGACCTAGAATCTTCCAGCAGAGCTGAATTATAGTGAGAGTAAACCCTGGCTTATGGTTGTGCCTTGCCTAGATGTATCTTTGTCCTTGTCCTATATGTGTCTGACCCCTTTGTCACTGAATGAGTCTTGCCATTGGCTTCACCAGCTTTGGGGTGCCCCGGGAGGGCCAAACTTTAAACAGAAGTATCTGATAGGGAGTAGGGACAGACACGCGTGCCCACAGGTTTATTTCTCTTCCCATGTGCTGCTGCAGGTGATGGGAACACCTGGCAGTTGCCTGTGCATCGCACAGCTTTCCCTTGCTGAAATATTTCCTGTCTCTTATCTCACAGCACAGCAGCTCCAGTCTGAGCGCCAGTCTGAGCTCCCATGCACAGCTCTGCAGGACATTTGGGACAGATACAGCTTGCATTAGCATGACAATGTCATATAGAATCCGTGGATTTGTAAAATGTAACTCCAAAGAGGATTTGCAGTTCAGTGCTGTTAGACCATCTCCTGCAGCCTGCATGCAATGAGGGACATTACGTTTCACTGTGTGCTGAGCACAGGCCCTCAGGTTTCACCAAAGTCCAACTTCCCTTGATCAGAAGCAGTGGCCAACCTGCCATATCCCATGGGGGTATGTCTCAGCAGTTAATTGCCCTCCAGGGTAAAGATATGAACACACCTTCTAGGTAGAAGTTTTCTGGCCTCAGCTTAATAGCCACTGGTTATTTTCCTACTTTTCTCCATCAGATTAAAGAACTGTGTAGCATGCTGCAGCTTCTGTGTAGGAACTTTCTCACTGTAACCACATTACACTCGGGTTTCTTCTTGAAAATTTAAGGAGATTAAGTTCTTTGAGTCTGTGACTGCAAAGTGTCACTCGGGGGGTCTCCTCTCCGTGCACACCCCTTCCTGTCCTTGGGTCTCTCACCTCCATCTCAGCAGGTACAGGAGGAAAATCACCTGCCTTTGGCTCTCTCCTGCTTATGTGCTCAGCAGCCTGGAGCAGCATGCTGAAGTTTCTGCTCTGTGTGAGCCCTGCATCCTTTTCTAAACCACTGAGCTTCAGGATACAGAGTCAGGATTGGGTTGGTTTTTGTAAGTCCTGGATTTTTTTTTTTTTTTTTTTCTGTATAGGCCACTTTGCATCTGGCTGAATAAAAGCACTTACTTGAAAAAATCCAAATAGCCCTTAAAGGAGTTCAGTTCAGAGAGCCTGCAGGCCAGCCGCTTTCCCCACCAGAGGGGAGGGTACACCCTTGGATGGACCCTCTTTACCAGAGGAAGCAAAGGACCATGCTGAGGAGGAGATGCAGAGCCCTGGTTGGCCTCGTTAGACAAAAAGCAGAGCAAGAACATCATGGATTTAAAATCTAAGAGACAGGAGATTAAAATGTATTTGTAAATGTTGCTGGCACAAGGTGGCACAGTTGCTACACTAATTCCAGGGCATCTGGAAAAATCTCCATCTCTGCTGCCTGTGGCATCTCCAACAAGTGTACCTTGTGCCTGGGATGAAGAATAAGGAGCCATGTGAGGCTTTCTCGTGCAGAGCGTCAGGAGCAATTGACAGCAGATGCTGTGGCCAGCAGTTTCACGGGGCATACACAGTGTTGGGAAAGGACACTGATGCTGACTCCTGCACACGTGTGCCTGCTGTTGTCACGCTGTTGCAGAGCCAGTTTGGATGGTTTCTGTATTGCAAAGCACACACACGCCTGATACAGTGCCACGGGCTGCAAGTTGAGCACAGCTGCCTCCTTGCAAACAGGCCCTCTCAGTGCTGCACAGGTGCTGCCCTTGCTCCACACCCACAGATGGGGAGGATATCCCAAACTGTAGCCACCTAGCTGGGACCTCACTTGATTTTGCTGTGGAGATGAATGGCCTTCCCCACAACTCACATGGTGAGGGCATAGCACCTCTCCTGGCAGGTTCAGGCTGGGTTGCTTTTGATGAAGAGTCTCTGGGCTTCCCATGCCTTTGTTGTCAGCACCACAAAAGATAAGGCTTTTCTTGACAGCATGGGGTTTCTTGATGATGTCTCTTTGTTTTGTTGTTACTCCCCACTTAGCTGTGTCACACAGAGACAGTAGGACTATTGGATGGTCTCAGATGGCTCTTCATAGTGTCTTCAAAGCATCTCTTCTGGCCCTGTTGGAGCAGGGCTGTGCAGGGCACCTCATCTGACTGGCAGTTGTGTTTGGAAGTGATCTGCAATCCAGGTCACGCAGAGAGTCTATTGCAGTTGTGCTTGTACTATCACAACTTTGTGCTGAGGGCCTGCAGTGCCTGAGGACCTCACCTTATGGACACAAGCTGGCTAGCTGTGATGAAACCAGTGATGAAATGTGGTGCCCTGAAGGGCAGGCAGATCTGAGGGCAGGGCCAGTGATCAGGGGAATAGAGGTGTGCTTCTCAAACCAGCCTGGCGCAGAGTTTGGATGGTTTATTTCGGATGCAGAACTTCGTCTGGACCCCATGCTATTAAAATCAGCAGTTTCTGATAGACATGCAACAAAAGAGGGTAGCAGGCATGAGCAGGGTTCACTAGCATAGGGTTGATTGGCATTACTGGCTGTGCTGTCCCATACATGTGCGGGTACAAAGCAGTCACCACCAGTCAAGGGAACACCTGTTTGCCCTGACCAGAGCTGCGGGGTACAGGGGAATGACCTTGTTTTGGGCTGCACAGTTAGATGAGGCTATGTATCCACAGCAGGGTCTCTGTGAAGTCC